TGCAACATCATTTCAGGTCCATTCTCTTTCCTAAACTGTGTTGCTGTTGTTTTACTGAATAATCTGTTGCTTCATATGCATAGTAGTTTCGATACCCTATTGAACATTAATAAACTTTGTCTGTGCCCCACAAAAATTTTGACTTCAAATGCTGGCATCTTGAAGAAATGTTGGACTGTTGTGCACTCTGAACTGCAAAACCAGTGCAAGCATTGCACTATGGCCACAGATAGGTTCTCCTTCAGTACAGACCAACAGGGCTTTTTAGCTAAGAGGTGGGCAACCTGCAACCCTCCAGGTGTTGCTGGACTTAAGATTCCAGTCAGTGGAATCATAGCTAGTGGTCAGAAATGGTCAAGAGATGTAGTCCAACGGTACTGGGAGGACCTTGAGTTTTCAACCTCTGCTTTAACCCATCTCAGATAAAAACAGCAGTAAAGTTATGTCCAAAGTCGGTAGTCTGACAATCATCAGGGTGGAGCAGTATCAGAAGGCTTGTAGGATCATGCCCTGCAATTGGTCAGGGGCAATACGGTCTGCAGTCCATAACTTACTGGCTGCAGAAAAAGTCTCACTGAACTTAAGACTTCTACATATACATGCTTAGGATTGGGCTATCGGTCTTTCTCACCACTGCTCCCTACTGCTAGGTAGAATGATAGAAGTTTTTATTTAAAGAATCACACTGCTGAGAGAGAACAGAGGAGCATACTTTCTCTTCCCTCACAGTCAAGGAGGAATTGGATACACACCTTTCCTAATGATGGTGCTATTGTAAGGTGAAATTCTATGCACACTTAACCTGGGTAAACTGTCTTGAACAAACCTGGCTTGACTTTCATATAAATTATACCTAATCCAGGGGTAGAAAACCTTTCCCCTTTAAGGGCCGAGGGACTTCAGCTCCCAGAATCCCAGGAGCTATTGGCCAACATGACTGAGGCTTCTGGGAGCTGAAGTCCCTCGGCCCTTAAAGGGGAAAGGTTGCCTACACCTGCCTAAGACTGTAGAGTAAATCAGGTTTTATCCTCAATCCTTTCCCCAGTGTTGCACATCTTGCTACAACAAGAGTCAGATTTCAAATTACAACGCTGTGAAAATCAAGACTCTCCCTTTGGTTTTCCCTGACTATACTTGTCTCCATTACACAGGCAATGAGTGCTTCCATCTTAGAGCCCCTTGAAATAACACAGGAGGGTTCTGAGGGAGGAGTACTCAGATGCACTTTAATTTGAGGTCTGTTTCATTACTCATGTGATACTTAAGTTTTATTTTGTACCATTAATAAAATACTCTGCTTTAAATGTTTTCTTATCGGTTGGTGTTATGCTAGATAAGTTGGCTTGAATCCTGTCGGTTAACCCAAAGTAGAGTCACCGAATCACTGAATGGTAAGTCCCACTGATTTAATGGGTTGACTCTCCTTGGAACTAATAATAGAATTCTGGATCTTATGATGTAAATCTTGCAAATATTCCAGTGTGAAGAAATAAATGCCCCATTAAACTGAAGTCTAAAAAGGGGAAGAAAAGCATTTCACATGAAACTTCTCTATTT